CATATGTGAGCCTCAAAAAAATGCAGCTTAGCTGCAAAGATAACTATAATCGGGTGAGACCCAGCAAAGAGTAAGTACTTCTCTTTTCTGTTCTTTTTTGAGACGGAGTCTCACTCTGTTGGCCAGGCTGGAGTGCGATGGTGTGGTCTCGGCTCACTGCAAGCTTCGTCTCCCAAGTTCAAGTGATTCTCCTGCCTCAGCCTCTCAAGGAGCTGGGATTACAGGAACCTGGCACCACGCCAACTAATTTTTATTTTATTTTAGTTTTAGTAGAGATGGGGTTTCACCATGTTGGTCAGACTGGTCTAGAACTCCTGACCTTGTGATCAGCCCAACTTGGCCTCCCAAAGTGATGGGAATACAGGCGTAAGCCACCGCCCCTGGCTAGTTCTTTACTTTGCAAGTGCATAAACTTTCAAGACACCATAATATCACTATTAAAATGTGCTAATTAAATATTCTAAAAGCAAAGAATGCACACGCCTCCGAGTAACGAGCAAATCCGGTCACGTCTGGAAAACGTGCCTGCACGGTGCTCCTTTCCGTAGAAGCTCAGTGCATGCAAGTGGAAAAAGAAACATGTTATTTTAAATGTGGGCCACTGGAACAGCTAAGGGTTTTCTTATTTAGTTCTTACCTTATAACCATCTTATCACCAAGTTGTAAATGTAAATTCTGTGCCTAAGTGTCCCTAACCACACAGCCTTAAAGGTGATCTGGCTTATTCTATGCAACTCATAAGGCTGAAATAACAGATATAGCACATTTCTACCCTGTAATCAGACACTATAGCTTTTCAAAAAGTATCTACAGCTGGGTGTGGTGGTTCACACCTGTAATCCCAGCATTTGGGAGGCTGAGGCAGGTGGATCACCTGAGGTCAGGAGTTTGAGACCAGCCTGGCCAACATGGTGAAACTCTGTTTCTACTAAAAATACAAAAATGAGCTGGGAGTGGTGGTGGGCACCTGTAGTCCCAGCTACTCGGGAGGCTGAGGCAGAAGAATCGCTTGAACCTGGGAGGTGGAGATTACAGTGAGCTGAGTTAGTGCCACTGCACTCTAGCCTGGGCAATAAGAGTGAAACTCTGTCTCAAAAAAAAAGAAAAGAAAAGAAAAGAAAAAAAAAGAAAAATGTACTCTATGCCAAGCTACCAAAAACAAATAAAAACAAAGACCCTCAAGTTCCAAAAAAGCAGAAATTAGACAGGCCACAGCCTCTAGCTGCAGTGTGACAAAATTAGTGCAAACATTCAACAAAAACACTGGCGACTTGGAAGTTAAGACACTCATCCTATTTGCCATTAAAACTATATCTGGCTGGGCACGGTGGCTCATGCCTGTAATCCCAGCACTTTGGGAGGCCGAGGAGGGCAGATCACGAGGTCAGGAGTTCGAAACCAGCCTGACCAACATGGTGAAATACCATTTCTACTAAAAATATAAAAATTAGCTGGGCATAATGGCACGTGCCTGCAATCCTAGCTACGCAGGAGGCTGAGGCAGGAGAATTGCTTAAACCTGGGAGGCAGAGGTTGCAGTGAGCTGAGATTGCATCATTGCAACCCAACCTGGATGACAGAGAGAGACTCTGTCTCAAAAAAAAGAAAGATATATATATATATATATACACATACACACACACACATTCATACACAGAAACTGAGAGAGCAAAAAAAGAGAAGAAAAATTGGCATGTTTCAAATATATTTATAATAAGGAAATAAATACTTTAATTAATGTGTGTGTATTTTTTTTTTGAAGACCACTTAGGCCAGGTGTAGTGGTCCAGGCCTATAGTCCCGGCACTATGAGAGGCCAAGGTGGGAGGATACCTTGGGCCCAGGAGTTTGAGACAAGCCTGAACAACACAGCAAGACCCTGTCTCTGAAAAAAAGTACAAAATTAGCCAGGCATGGTGGCGTGTGCCTGTGGTCCCAGCTGCTTGGGAGGCTGAGGTGGGCTGATCACCTGAGCCCAGCAGGTCAAGGCCGCAGAAAGCCACGATCATGCCCCTGCGCTCCAGCCTAGGTGACACAGCAAGACCCTGTCTCAAAAGCAAATAAATAAATACAATTTAAGACTGCTTCAAGATGACTACATAAACATTTATTAAGTTTTTTTCTCACTGTGTTGCCCAGGCCAGAGTACAGTGGCGCCATCTCAACCACTGCAACCTCCACTTCCCAGGCTCAAGGAATCCTCCTACCTCAGCCTCCCAAGTAGCTGGGACCACAGGCATATGCTACTATATCTGGCTAGTTTTTTGTATTTTTGGTAGTGATGGGGTTTCACCAGGTTGCCCAGGCTGGTCTTGAAGTCTTAGGCTGAAGCAATCCATCCCCTTCAGCCTCGCAAAGCGCTGGAATCACAGGCATGAGCCACACTGTGCCCAGCCTTCTTAAATAGTTATCACAAAAACACAGACTCCAAAATAGCACGAAAGAAAAAGAACACTGGTCACCAATTTCTAAAGAGTAAGATGTTCTGGGAAAAACAGATTCTTCATCCTTTACCACGATGAGGACTGTCTTTAAGTTTCTTTTTTTATATGCTAGTATGAAAATCAGTTTCCTGGATCCAGCTTGTCTTGTTCAGCACTGGGGACAGTAGCTCACAGCAGCTACTCAGTAAATATTTATAGAATGACTGCGTTAAATAAATATATACATATATGAAGAGATTGGCTACATATGATTGCATCTAAACATATGATATAGACATTTCAAATGAGTCATAAATATTTTTCACATAGAAAGATTTTTCATAACCTAAATAGTTAATAAAGCAAGTCACAAAATAGTTTACAAAGAAGACATATGTTTTCTCTTCTCTCTCTCATTCTCTCTCTCACACACATAACTTTTAAAACTCTGTTCATGAGCCAGGCGCGGTGGCTCACGCCTGTAATCCCAGCACTTTGGGAGGCTGAGGTGGGTGGATCACAAGGTCAAGAGATCGAGACCATCCTGGTCAACATGGTGAAACCCCGTCTCTACTAAAAATACAAAAATTAGCTGGGCATGGTGGCGCGTGCCTGTAATCCCAGCTACTAAGGAGGCTGAGGCAGGAGAATTGCCTGAACCCAGGAGGCGGAGGTTGCGGTGAGCCGAGATCACGCCATTGCACTCCAGCCTGGGTAACAAGAGCTCAAACTCCATCTCAAACAAAAAAAAAAACTCTGTTCATAAGTTGGACAAACAGGAGCTAGGGAAAACCACAGTGTTTGATACCTATGGCATGTCTCTCATTTTACGTCTAAGATGCCAGAAATGGGCCTGGAGCCGGGGCTTACTCCCAACACTTTTTTTTTTTTTGAGACAGAGTCTTGCTCTGTTGCCAGGCTGGAGTGCAGTGGCCCAGTCTTGGCTCATTGCAACCTCCGCCTCCCAGGTTCAAGTGATTCCCCTGGCTCAGCCTCCTGAGTAACTGCAACTACAGGTGCACGCCACCACGCTCAGCTAATTTTCATATTTTTAGTAGAGACAGGGTTTCACCGTATTGGCCAGGATTGTCTCAATCTCTTGACCTCATGATCTGGCCGCCCCAGCCTCCCAAAGTGCTGGAATTACAGGTGTGAGCCACTGCGCCCAGCCTATCTCAGCACTTTGGGAGGCTGAGGTGGGTGATTCACCTGAAGTCAAGAGTTAGAGACCAGCCTAGCCGATATGGCAAAACCCCGCGTCTAAAAATACAAAAATTAGTTGGGTGTGGTGGTGGATGCCTGTAATCCCAGCTACTCAAGAGGCTGAGGCAGCAGAAGGGCAGAGGTTGCGGTGAGCCAAGATCACGCCACTGCACTCCAACCTGGCTGACAAGAGTGAAACTCCATCTCAAAAAAAAAAAAAAAAGAAAGAAAGAGGTAAAAGAAAACATTTTTTCTACTGTCAATTAATTAATTAATTTATTTTATTTTATTTTTGTGAGACGGAGTCTTGCCCTGTCATGCAGGCTGGAGTGCAGTGTCAGAATCTCGGCTTCACCTCCCAGGCTCAAGCAGGGATTACAGGTGTCTGGCACCACATCTGGCTAATTTTTATATTTTTTTTGTAGAGATGGGGTTTCACCATGTTGGCCAGGCTGGTCTCAAACTCCCGGCCTCAAGTGGTCTTCCCACCTCAGCCTCCCAAAGTGCTGGGATTACAGGAGTGAGAGACCGTGCCTTGCTTGCCAGTGAATTTACCTTTGCTTCAGAGTTGCACAGGTCACCTTCAGCCCCTCTGTCCCTGGCCTCTCACGGATGGTGACCACACACATCCTATCGTCTGGCCTGTATCTTCAGCCCATCCCTGGCATGTTCTGTCATGGGCCTTGCCCAACAAGCCACCTGCTTAATAATCAAATCACAATGAAAACAGCTCTGTTCCAGTTGGTGTGGATGTCCCAAGTGTCTGCTAAGCACTCACATTTCTCAAAGTTAATGTTATCAAGTTTTAAATTGATAACATGAATTTAAAACATGGCTGCCATGAAGCAATGAAGTTCCTGGCAAAACTGACACCGTACCTCAGAACTTAAAAGTGAATCTTAGGCCGGGCGGGGTGGCTCATGCCTGTAATCCCAGCACTTTGGAAGGCCCAGGCAGGTACATCACCAGGTTAGGAATTCAAGATCAGCCTGGCCAACATGGTGAAACCACATCTCTACTAAAACTACAAAAATTAGCCAGGTAGGTTGGCAGGCACCTGTAATCCCAGCTACTCAGGAGGCTGAGGCAGGAGAATCACTTGAATCCGGGTGGCAGAGGTTACAGTGAGCCAAGATTGTGCCACTGCAGTCCAGCCTGGGCGACAGAGGGAGACTCCATCTCGGGAAAAAAAAAAAAAAAAAAAAAGGGAATCCATGCCCATGTATGCTACTTTCAGTCTGAAAACGTATCTAAGGTTGCATCCCGAAGTAATAATAATTAACCTCCACATTGCTGGTCTGCGGCACAACAGAAATAAACACAGCACACTTAAATACTTCCATCTGGAAACAGTAAATCAAGCTTTCTATTTACCTGTGGTGACAACTTCAGTTCTGAGCTTGTCTTGCCGCAAACTGTGTGTCCACAGAGCAGGCTGGGCCCGGAGCTTCAGCCTGGAGGAAGAAGATGGAGGAGGAAGTGATTACGCTATGTTCTCTGGATGCCCCCAACTCTCCACCACCTTGGAAAAGGAAAGTCACCCTGCCCCTGCCCCACAACCACACAGGTGTCTCACGGTCCTTCTCAGGAAAACCCGTGCCCTTGCCCTGACCCGGTTCTCCAGGGCACCCTTATCCCAAGCGGGCTGGGAGAGGAGAGGCCTCCCTGGTTTCCTGGGCGGGGGGGGGGGGGGGGGGGGGGGAGTCGGTGGGGCAGCTGGGGCTGAGGTGGGCACGCAGTCCCGGAGGGTCCCATGAAGCCCGCCGGTTAGACAACTGTGGGTTTTTCTTGGAAAGAATCCTGGCACTGGGAGCACACTTCCTCTCGTTTAACTTTTAAAGCAGGCTTCAGAAACGCGCAGGCACGCAGGTGTGCCCTGGTAGTTGGGGTGGGAGACGGGGCAGAGCGGACCTTCCTGACTCCCACCGGCACCACCCAGCGCCCCTCCGGCTTCACTCGCACCACGCGGGCCGCGCAGCCCAGGACTCCGGAAAGACCTGGGAATGCCCGCGCCAGACCCGCAGCGGCCCCCACCGGGAGCGACATGGCGCGGCTTCCGCAGAGAAGCCACCCGGCCGAGAGCAGCCCGTTCGGGCTGCCGGGGGTTACCCCGCCGCGTTGGGGCACCAAGCGGGAAGCGTTCCTCTAAGGCGGTCACAGCCGGAGGAGCTAACACGCGCGTCTTGGTCCGGCGGCAGCCGCCGGGCGCACCCACCCAGGGTCGGTCAGTCCGGGCCCGGGTTTCCCTGCCTCAGGGATCCCTGGGGGTCTTGGGAAGCCACGGCGCGGAGGGATGGGCAAGCCCCGATGTCCCGCCCGAGAGCCTCCCTCCCAAGGGACAAGCCGAAGACTTAGAGTCGCTGCTGTCGCCAGACCCGACCTCCGCGCAGCGCCAAGCCCCATGGAGAGCCGTGGAGTCTACGGTTCCAGGCAGGGCCCCGGCGGTAGGAGGGAGGACGAGCAGGGCCCCGGGACCCCTTGCACGAGTCCTCGGCGTGTGTCCTCGCCCCTCGCCCTCACGTCTCCGGCCGCGCACCCTGACCCTGGATCCCCGGGCCCCCGAGACCTCGAGACCCCGGGCCCCGCGCATGCGCCGCCCAGCCCCTGCCCCTCCCCCGTCCGCCGCCGTCTGGGTCCCGGGACTGGGGAAGCCCGGCCGGCGGACCCCCGCGCGCGCCCTTCCGCCCGCGGGCACCTGGATCGCGGTCCGCCGCCTGCCAGTCCGTGGGACGAGCGCCGAAGGAGGCGGCGCCGGGCAGGGCGCTAGCGGCCGCCTCCGCCCCCGCCGCCCGCTGCCCCTGCCGCGGGGCCGCCGCGTCCACGGCCCATGCCCGGCGCCGCCTCCGCGCGTCCGTGCCAGCCGCGCCCCCGCCACACGCACCGCCCCTCGGCCCGCCCCGGTCCGCGCGGGCTCCTGTCCCCGGGCCCGACCCGGAAGCCCCGCCCGCCCCGCGCGCCCTCGGGGCGCCCGGGCTCCGGCCCCGGGACACACCCCCCGGACGGCGGCGCCCGATTGGCTGCTCGAGGGGGCGGGGCCCCGGGAACTCTCCGCTGCTCCCACCTAGTGCCTCGCGTCCGCTGCAACCAGGGGAAACTGAGGCCGAATAGGTGGAGGAGCCCTCCAAGGTCACCGCCGGGACGCCGCTGAGCGTGGGCGCCCCTGCAGCCCCGCGCACCCGATGGGGCTGAATTCGAGGAGGGGACGCGCGGCCGCAGGGAGGGTGGAGGTTCCCGCTGAGCGCCCGTGCCACGCTGGCGAGTCCCTCCTGCCTCCTCCGGGAGCTGGGCTCCGCCGTTCGGTGCAATGAGCGGGTCTAGATCCGGGACCGGGTGCCCTTGAGCCTCCAAAGTGCGTGGGGTGGTAGGCAGGCCGGGAAGGACCTTGTCCCTGGAACCCTAGGATGCAAAATAAGGGGAAGGGGAAGGCGAGCTGGGAGGACGAGGAAACAGGTGGCAGGAGGTGCCAGGGTGGTGTGGCGGGCGGGGGAACGAGGAGGGTGAAGGGCAACGCGGACGGGCTCGGGGAGGAGCCGCTAGCTCCGATCCCACATTCCCACCCATCTCCAGTGGCCCGAGAGCCATGCGCGCCCCCTACTCCGTGCCCGGGGGGGTGATGAGGGGCTGACTTTGTGCCCACGCAAGGCGCTGGGACTCTGCCAGCGCAGGGGGAGGTCGCGGCCCGGCGGCCAATGGCGAGGAGTAGGAGAGCGCCCTGCAAAGCCGCTTTGTTCGCGCTGTGACGCCCGAGCTCTCTGCGCGGAATGCACAAAGCCCCTGGGTGCCGGCACATCAGGGCGCCCCTCCTCAGGAACGAAATGTGTGCTATGCCAGCCCCACTGCCAGCTGCGCCTGCCACTGTGCTATTTGTGGTCCCAGGAGGACCCACTCCGGAAAGGAAACGCAAATCTCATTAGGCTGGGGAACTGCAGACCAGGCAGGAACTGGCCCTTGCACAGACTTCCCTTAAACTCACCCTTGTTGATTAGCCAGGCAACTATGGTGAACTTTGCCCCACCCTCCAGACCCTCCCACGTATCCTTCCCGCTGGCACATGGCAGGCTCAGCTTTTCTTGCACATGCTAGCCACCAATAGCACAGATTCATGTTGTGTTTCAGAGTTTACAGTGTGATCCATACAGTTAATATCCTGGATATCTCGTGGGATGTGCCAGCAGCCACATCAAAGCTTGTCACCCTGTTGTGCTTGGTGAGGGAAGCTGACCCTCGGCTGCCCATGCAGAGCTCAGGGGCTACATCCTCATGAGGACCTCTGGCCTCAAGGACATTATGTGGCATAACCACATCCCAGGCTCTCAAGAACCAGGGTCCACACAGCTGTGTTGGCTTCTTTTCCCAGATGCAACATCCAGGTCAACCAGGTGTTGAAAGACCTGGTGTATCTTGTCATGAACAAGGACAAAGGCTGAGTGGGGCTCTGAAGAGTGGCCATGAACACTCAGCGGACACAGAAAAGACGACATTCCTGGGTTCTTGGGGCTCCCAAGGTTTTAGGAAGAAAAAACTTAGTTTTCATCCATGTGTCCCAGAAATAAGCATTTTCAATCAAATGCTCTCAGCCAGTCTCCCGCAGACGTCCTGGGGTAGAAGCGAGTTCAGGACTCTTGGGAGCATCCTGGCCAGAAACAGCCCCTATCTAATGCCTCCCGGGGCTGGTAGGTTTCTTTTGGGAAACCAGGCTCACATGAGAGAGGTGAAACAATTTTCTGTTGGCCACAAAGACCTTGTCACACACCCAGCATGGGAGCAACTGTCACAAAGGGCACACCCCACCCCCATCCCCAGCTCAGGAAGCCTCTCTTTACCTTCTTCAGTGCTGTTGAAATGAGGGCCACACGACAGAACAGAAACGCCACTGGTGCAGGGACTGAGTAGAAATCTATACTTGGAGGACAAATCAGTGCTCTTGAAAATGTCTCTGAGCATGCCCTGAGTTTCCTCTCTGGAGCCTAGTGACTACAGGGAGCACCTGTCTGGTGCACAGGGATCTCAGTTCATAGCTTCCATTTATGTGGTGACAATGCTGTCTCAGGTCCCTTTTGACATTTTCTGGTCTTGAAGACGTTCTGAGGGTAATTCTTATTGTGCCCACATTACGAGAAGGAACCTGAGGCACAGAGTGGCCCCATCTGCACTGGGTCCCCCAGGCCAGTGGCAGGGCACAGGACAGAAGGCAGGTCTGTAAAGCCCATGGCTGCCCTGCTAAGCCTCTCACTCCTGCAAGTGCTGACCTGCCAGTCAGCCAGAGAAGCCCAGCCTCTCCCACGGTCTCAGGAAAACGATTGGGAAGCTGGGAATTCAGAGGGGAAGGGGTTGCTGGAGAAGGCAACCTGGAGTGGTAGGGCTTGGCCACTCAGTAGCAGGCAGCACTTAGACCCTGAGTGCTAGGAGCAGGTGATGACAGTCATCTGTGTTTAGGGACCCAAGTGCTTTCCCTGATCCTGCCAGGGTGAAGCTTCCCCCATGGGCCTGGGGTCTAGGCTGCAGTCTGTTTGTGATCCAGGGCCTGCAAAGGTTGCTGCTGACTTGCCCTCTGCTGGTGTGCAAATCCCTCTGTCAAAGGGATGTGTGCTTCCAGGATGGCATCCACCAGGGCAGTGGCCTCTGAGCTCCTGGAAGCACGCCTGCAGGTCAGGTGGTGGAAGTCCACCAGGGCAGAGGCTGTGGGCCGAGAAAGGGAGGGCTCATTGTCAGCGAGCAGGGAGCTGCTTGGTGACCCGAGGCTGGACCTCGTTGGTGAGAGCCAACCTGGGTATGTCCTTGGTTGCCCTCCTGGTACTGACAGCAAACCCCTATGGGTCCAAGGTAATGAAGGAGTGTCACACTAGGGCACAGAACCCACAAGAGTCTCATAAGGTGGCTGTGCCTACGCCATCTTACAGATGAGGAATGAAGGGCCAGGAAAGGCAGCACGTGGCCAAGGTCCCCAGCAGGGAGTGAGAACTCTCCCGAGTCCCAGTCCATCAGCACCTGGTCTTGGGTACTCCTGGGATCCAGCTGCCTGGGGCAGAAGCTGTCTGCTGACTGACATGGCAGACTCCGGAAGTCTCAGGAGTCTAGGGTCAATGACAGGATTTCCCTGGTAGCTGGTCCTGGCCTGACAGCTCCAGGCGGGTGGCAGCAGCATGTGCAGAAGCCTGTGGCAGGAGAGAGGGGCCATGTTCAATGGGAAACAGTGTGGAGATGGCACAAGAAGGGCAGAGCTGGGTAGGGCCCTGGCCAGGCAGGTCTTACGGCCGGTGGGGAGTTAGGCTGTGGTCATAAGGGCTGCAGGACACCTGCAATGGAGGATTGTCAGCAGGAGCGTGACTCCATCAGCTTAGCACCGAGTGCTGCGTGCTGCATGCTACACGTTAACCAGTGGTCACCGCTGGAGTGGGGAGGGGCTTAAGCTGTGCATGTATTCTAACTTCGCAGGTTCTGGAAGCTTCTGCAGGCCCAGGAACTGCTGCTGCCATGACCCTCTACCCTTTGATAATTAAGCGGTCTCCAGCTTTGCAGCAGGCCCCATTCGACATGGCTCAGATGTCTCTCTGTCGATCTTGAGAAGGCCAGGGCAGCCCACCTGCAGCTGCACTGCCTCCCCTCTTCGCCCCTCCAAAGGGACAGGTGCCCCCTCATCACACAGGATCCAGCTCCAGGGCATGGACAGGAAACTGTGAGACCCCTGACTGTCGTTCTAGGTGCTGTGAGAGTCTCACTGCAAAGTGTGACATATGGATAGACAAATTTTCTTTTCCTTTTCTTTTCTTTCTTTCCTTCTTTCTTCTTTCTTTCTATCTCTCTCTCTCTCTCTTTTTTGTTTTTGAGATGGAGTCTTGCTCTGCACTTGCTGGAGTGCAATGGGGAAATCTTGGCTCATTGTGACCTCCACCTCCCGGGTTCAAGCGATTCTCCTGCCTCAGCCTCCTGACTAGCTAGGATTACAGGTGCCTACCACCACAACTGGCTAATTTTTTGTATTTTTCATAGAGATGGGGTTTCACTGTGTTGACCAGGCTGGTCTTGAACTCCTGACCTCAGGTGATCTGCCCACTTTGGCCTCCTAAAGTGCTGAGATTACAGGTGTGAGGCACCCGGCCAGATAGATTTGGTCCATAAAGGACGATGTGCTCTGCGTGGAGTTGGATTCTGCAGTGATCTGACCCCGTGGCCTGGTCGTGAGCGGCGCTGCTGCAGGCAGGGAAGGCTGGAGATGCAGACATGAGGCCTGGAAACGCATGCGGCAGGCAAGCTTAGTGCGCAGCACCTGGGTGCCGTCCCCCACTTCCCTCATGGAATGAGTGAGCAGTGCCTGGGGTCTGGAGTTCAATAGAACTGGATTCAAATCCTCCTGTACCTTTCCCTCACACTACAACCCCCAGTCAGCAATGCCTATCCCAGCCCCCTCATCCCTACAGCGGGGCAGGGAGGCCTGCCTCAGTGGGTCCTGGTGTGAGTTTGAGGAGGAAGTGCGGGGATGGTGCAGGGCGGGGCCTGGTGAGTGGGTCGTATTTGGGACATGGTAACCACCAGCTTGAGGGTTCTGCCAATGCTTGCCTCCTCCAGGAAGCCTGCTTGGCAACCATCCCCCTGCCAAAGCTGCCCTCTACTTTCTGTGGCTACCAGCTCCTGTGCTCCGAGTGGCTCTTGTCACATCCAGCACCATCTTTACGGGGCCCACTGCCTGGTCCTGTCTGTCCACTCAGGACAGGTGACAGGCACCCCTCATGCCTTGCAGACACCAGCCCCAGTGCCCACGAGCCTCCTGCCTGTGAACCCCAGTCCCACCCCGTTATCTGCTTTTCACCAGAGTCCTGACAACCAGGAGTCCTGTGCCCCTGAGTGGAGGGAGGCTGCCCTATTGCATTGCTCTGCCTTGGATTTCACTAAAATGTGGGACTGGGCCATGGTTCCTCATCTCCTGGAAGGGACAGATCATGTTTGACAATTTTTTTGGGTCTGCAGCAAAGTGAAAAACAAAAACAAAAACCCCTGACATTGTGAAGGTCCCTCTAGAACCTCAACATGGCGAAACCCCGTCTCTACTAAAAATACAAAAATTCGCCAGGCATAGTGGCACATGCCTGTAGTCCCAGCTACTTGAGAGGCCGAGGCAGGAGAATTGCCACACGAGGCAGAGGGTACAGTGAGTGGACATCACACCAATACACTCCAGCCTGGGTGACAAAAGCAAAACTCTGTCTCAAAAAAAAAAAAAAAGAAAGAAAAGAAAAGAAAAGAAAAGAAAGAAAGAAAGAAAGAAAGAAAGAAAGAAAGAAAGAAAGAAAGAAAGAAAGAGAAAGAAAGAGCCTGTTTTTCAGGCCAGGCACAGTGGCTCACACCTGTAATCCCAGCACTTTGGGAGGCAGAGGCGGGAGGATTGCTTGAAGCCAGGAGTTTGAGACCATCCTGGGCAACATAATGCGACCCTTTCTCTAAAAAAAAAAAAAAAAAAAAAAAAAAAAATGAACCAAGCACGGTAGCATGTGCCTGTGGCCCCAGCTCCCCAGGAGGCTGCGGCGGGAAGAGTGCTTGGGCCTGGGAGGTCGTGATGGCTGCACTGCACTCAGGCCTGGGCAACACTGAGAGACCCGGTCTCAAAGAGGAAAAAGAGAAATAGCCTTTTCCTTTCCAAGACTATACCTTCTATTCCTTTATTGTAGTTGAAAATACCTTTCCTTGCTGAGAACTGCTTAGATTAAGTGCTGGTAATTGTGGTAGAGATTGGTTAGCTTTGAATTGGCAAAACCAAGGTATTGACAAACCACAGGTCTGTCCCCAGAGCCGTTGCAAATGGCACCCGTCTGTAACAGCCCAAGGTCCAGGGGCTGCCCCTCGCCCCTCAGATGCGCTTTATTGACTGAAAGAAGCGGCACAAAGGACTCTGGACATTTCCCAATCTTTCCATGCCAGGCCTTTTCTCCATTTTATTAGTGATATTTATTTTCAAGTCAACACATCGGTTTGTGTTGAGACTTGCAACGTTACAATATAAAGTTCTATGTGAGGGCCTGATTTTGATCTTTGACAAAGCCAAGGAGCAGGGTGTGGGCTACAACCTTGAGAATCTGCAGGAGCGGCGCCCACACGGGCCTTGGCTCGAACGCCATTGGACACCTCCCAGGGGGCCCCTGACCTGGGGAGGAACCTCCCTTCTGCCTGGGAGCCTCAAGGTGTGCAGAGGAGAGAGCTGGCTGCAGCCAGATGTGTGAAGGCAATCAGTGTTTCTCTGTGACGGTGGCATGGGGCAGGCAGGGTTCTTGGATGGCTGGCGAGGAAGCAGGCTGGGGACTGTCAATTCATTGCTCCCCCTCTCCAGGTGGAGGCATTAAATTAGGTCAAAGCATCTTGGCGAGTGTTCATGCTGAGTTGAGTTTTTAAAACAAAACCAAATAAGTAGCTGGTGGGTGCTCAGTGGGTGCCAAGGACTGAGCTGGCTTTTCCAGGCAGGCCCCCTGCTTCTTTGCCCAGTGTCCCCAGTGCTGACTTTTTCTCAGAGAACATGGTGAGCTCTGGGTGCCTGTGGAGTTGGCAAGACGTTTTCTCAGCTCTGCCCATTCCCCAGCTTCCTGGGACCTTGGAGGGCGCTGCAGGCGGGACTGGCTGTCTGCCCAGCCTGGACTAGCTGCTGCTCACTCAGAGCTGTGTGCTCTCGGTGCCTCCCTCCCTGCTGGGCTAGGAGTCTGCCCTCACTGTGCCCTCATGCCTGGGGCAGACCTCAGTTTCCCACTAACCCTTATTCTTCTAACTCCTTCTTTGCGTGCCTGCCTCCCTCACCACACTGGGAGAGGCTCTGGCAGAGGAAGCCCGCCTTCCCCGGATGTGTGGCCTCAGCTCCTAGTTGGCAGAATCCTTCCTGCTGCCAAAAGGCTCTAGCTTCATGCTGCCTGCCCTTGGAGAGTCAGCCCTGAGCCCAGGCAGGCCAGGGCTGTGGCTGAGAAACGGATGCAGCCGGCACCTGGAAGGCCAGAGACACAGGCTGAGGAGCTGGGATTGTCCTACAGACAGTGGGCGGCCAAAAAAGACGCTTGAGCACCGGTGGCCTCAGACACAGGGGACCTTCCCAGCCCGTGTCCTCACGTGCTCAGAGCCAGCAGGAGGAGCAGGAGCGGCATCCTGAGACACTGTTCTGTAAGGAACAATGGCACTGCTGCAAAGATACCAATGTGGGGAGTGGTGTTGCCCTAATTCAGAGACAATAGTTTGAGTGGAAATTCAAAAGCACCACTTGTGTGGCACAAGCCTGTCTTCTTCCTTTCCTTTTTTTTTTTTTTTTGGTGGGGGGAGATTGGATCTTGCTCTGTCACCCAGGCTGGAGTACAATGGAACAGTCATAGCTCACTGCAGCTTCAAACTGCTGGGCTCATGTAACCCTCCTGCCTCTGCCTCCTGAGTAGCTGGGACTACAGGTGTGCACCACCATGCCTGCCTAATTAAAATTAGTATTATTTTTATTTGTAGAGAGACTGCAGAAGGGACCCTGGTATGTTGCCCAGGGTGGTCTTGAACTTCTAGCCTCCAGTGATCCTCTCACCTTGACATCCAAAGCACGGGGATTATAGGCGTGAGCCACTGTGTGTGGCCCCAAGTCCACTTTTTAAAGCATTTCTGTGACAAGCACATGCAGGCAAGGCAAAGCAAAAGCGATCAAATCCGGTGAGCGTGCTGCTACCGGGCACTGTTTAACTGTGAACTTGGGTAATTATTAAATTCTGAACTCTTCAGCAGCCCCCTCGGACAGTGTTAGATTCAGGAAACGGCAAACAAAACCGAAGATAGAAAAAGGACCCTAGGAAAATGCCCACGCCTTTTAGAAGGCAGACTCTGCCTCAGCTGTGAAGGTGCATTGTGAGTTCATCTGCTCCTGCAGATGTTTAATGAATAGCAAATCAGATTCCCCGTTATTCCTACGTCGAGGCTGAACACACCTTTACGGGGCATCCGTGTGAGGGGAAGCCCCTGCCTGTGTCTCCCAATGGACTCCTTGGAGCACCCCTCCCTGCCTCTGCCCATCAGCGCCTGAACTGTGGCCCCTTACACTCCTGTTGCCTCCCCAGTGGCTTGAACTCCAGAACTTCCTACCCCTCCGTGGATTTCCCGGAGGAGTGATGAGCTCTGGGCTACGCTTGGCCACCAGACATGGACTGTCTCTTCCATTACGGTGTGAAATGCCCCCTAGGGTCTCGTTCGATAATTCTGTAACAATATGGGCAGACTGTGTGGGTGTCTGCTACTTTGACTGCTGGGTCTTCCTTCTTCCCTTTCAGACTTAGATACCTTTGTGTGCTTCTGGGGCCCTCGGAAGGGTGTCTGTGGGGTTTCTGTGAGGTCCAGGACAGAGGTTCCTTCTCACAAGGATTTGTGTTTGCCTTTACATGGACAGCCCAGACCCCCTGAAACCAGATGCCCAGGGGTTCCAATGAATCAGTGTTCCAAGTCCCCATGAGCTCCGTGCTCTTTGTGCTTGAGTCTGTGCGTCCTTCCCTTTTTTCCTCCCACTGCTTTGAATGCTAACGAATGCCTTCTAAATCGGAAAGGGAAGTTTCGGGGCAGGGGTCAGGGTTATCTCTGCTTCAGTCTTCATCCAAGGCGGGGCCTTTCAGGCTCCCAGCTTGATACGGGGGTGAATCCCTAATCAGGCTTCTCATACCTTGACATCTGTCTACTCCCACCTCCCTCCAAGGTGGAAGCCCAGCTTGCCAGGTCGGCAAATGCTCGCAGGCAACAGCGGCCCCAGCGTTCCTCCCTAGGTTCTTTCTTTCCCTGGAGCTTGGCCAGGAGGTTTCCCACTAGCTTGGCAGCCATTTGATGCTTTTAATGTGATTTTGTTAAATTATTTTTTTATTTTTATTTTTATTTTTATTTTTGAGACGGAGTTTCGCTCTTGTCACCCAGGCTGGAGTGCAATGGCGCGATCTCGGCTCACCACAACCTCCGCCTCCTGGGTTCAGGCAATTCTCCTGCCTCAGCCTCCCGAGTAGCTGGGATTACAGGCACACGCCACCACGCCCAGCTAATTTTTTGTATTTTTAGTAGAGACGGGGTTTCACCATGTTGTCCAGGATGGTTTTGTTCTCTTGACCTCGTGATCCAAGGGCTCTGCCATTACTGCCGTCGGAAGCTGGGACAGTTAATACAGGCGCAGACATTTATTTTCCACATGCTGTCTCATCTTCTAGATGAGACAGATGTTCAACAGCTGGAGAACTGGACCCGTCTTTGTCCTCGTCTTGCCAAGCAATAGGAAGTGGTCACTAAACAGGGATTTTCAAGCCCGTTGCTTAAAGGCACTGTTGGCCCAAAGGGAAGTGGGTCCCTGCTCCTCTTCCTGGGCAGAGGCGCAGGAGCCCAGAGGGCCCTCCGGCTTGGCTGCCTGCAGAGTGGCTGAGGAAGCGCCTGCTGTGTGCACAGGGCATCCAGCCTCGCTCCTCCCCGGGCAGCCCCGCAAACAGCTGTTCCTCTGCCTGCTCCCAGCTGTGGACCTGAGGCAGAGAGGCTGAGCCATTGCCCTGAGCCACATGCCTGGGAGCAGCAGGCCTGGACCTGGTGCCCGGACCTGGCTCACATGACCTTGCTTTTTCCATTGTGCCTGCTGCTCCCTCCTGGGCTCTGTGACCTTGGGCAGCCATGGCCGTCCTGTGCCCATTCCCAGCTGTAAAATGAGAGGCTGGACTGGCTGATCTCAAATGTCCCCTGCCAGCCTTGGATTCTGTGTTGTGCCCCAGGGTGTGCTGATGACATGCCCCCAAAGGGAGCCACCAGTGCTCATGAGGGAGGCCTTTTTCCTGAGTCAAGGTGGGTGGGGGTATTGGGGTTGAGTCGGGGGGCTGGGAGGTGGGGGAAGCACACACTGTCCTCCCCAGCTGAGCCCTCATGGTGAATTACCTTGAGCCTCAGGCTCAGGGCTTTGGAAATGCTCTCAGACCCAGCACCCAGGCCTGGATCTTCGAGCCCGTGGCCCTCCCCCTCTCTACTGGAATCTTCCAGGCTGAGGTAGGTCAGCTGAAAGTCACTGACTCTGACTTCCACAAACTCATAGCTGACAGACCATTCCACGTCCCCTCCCAGCCCCATCCGGGGAGGGAAATTTGCTTGGCCTTCCCGCCCTCAGGGCTGTCCCACTGTCAGTCACTCTCTAGGTCCCACCCACTGTCCCACCAACTTCGTTGGTCTAAAAATATGCTCTGGCATCTTGCTGGAAGGCAGCAGGAATGATGGGCCCTGCTAAGGCGAAGAGAGTTACCCGATGGGGCAAACTGACATACGGGTCATGCTTTGGCAAAATAACAAAACAGCAGGATGAACACTGGCTCCCCATCTGTCCTCAAGGCCTTACGCCAGGAAGAGGACCCTTGGGCTTAGGGAAGTGAAAACCAGGCCCGGGCCCCTCACCCAGTCCTTTCTGCCCACTTCGGGAGGGAGCCCAAGAATTCATCTACGGAGGGACCTCCTGTTGGGAACTGAGGCCCAGTTGGAACTTTTTGGGGGGTTTCTTGGGGACAGGATCCCACGGAATCTTCTCTGGGTATTCAGAGCCAGGCTCAGGCCCATAAGAAAGATGTGGGCAGCTGAGAAAAACACTCTCTTCCCTTCCCCACATTTTTTTTTTGTTTGTTTGTTTGTTTTTTGAGGCAGTCTTGCTCTGTCTCCCAGAACCTTTGCCTGCCGGATTCAAGTGATTCTTCTGCCTCAGCCTCCCAAGTAGCTGGGATTACAGGCACCCAACACCACACCCGGCTAATTTTTTTGTAATTTTAGTAGAGACGGGGTTTCACCATGTTGGCCAGGCTGGTCTTGAACTCCTGACCTCAAGTGATCAGCCAGCATTACTGGTGTGAGCCACCGTGCCCAGCCTCCCCATCACCCCTTGCTCTGAGAGCCTGAGCTGGAGTCCTGGCTCTGCTGGGGGCCCTGCACACATAGTCTCACCTCTTTGTGCCTCTGTTTTCCGTGGGAAGAAGGTTACCTTTGGAGGGTCACTGTGAGGGTCAGAGGTTACAAAGGTCAATGGGGCCCATGTCAACAAGCTGTTGCCCTGGCTTTGGCCCTGCTCTGCCCACCCTGCCCTTTCATTTCTCATTTGTCCACCTGCCCAGCCCACCCACTGGTCAACACCTGCACTGCTGACAGCTCCATGGGCCTGGGCAGAGCCCCTGGGCCCAACACCTGGAGTCCGCCGTGGTCACATCTTCTCCTCTCTCTCCAGTCATCTACTTCCATCCCATTGCTTTGCACGTGCTTTTCCTTCTGTAGGGCATCCCCTCCCTTCACTTTTTCCTTTGAGGATTTACTTCAGGCACCACCTCCTCCAGGAAGGCCTCCCTGATCACTCTTCCTTGGGTCGTGTTCCTCTTCCGTACTCCTTCAGCCCCGGTGCCTCCTGCTGACTTCACTTTATTTTATTTGTTGAGTAAGTCATCTCCCTTGCTAGGCTAGAAGCTTCTTGGGAGTCTGGATGTCATCTGAGGTGATTAGAAGCAGTAACTACAGGAATGAAGGAACTACATTTAATAACATTATAATAATTGATTCAGGGCAGAGTCATCTAAGGATGCTAATATTAGTGGGTGAAAGTTTGAGTAGCAGGATATTTACAAAGTCTCAAAGTATCACCCAACAAGATACTTACTAATGGCAAAAGGAAACACAGTAACTTTTCAGCAGGGAAATCTGGCCAACTCCTTATTTATCAACTGATCGCCAGGAACGAAACAGACATCAACAGATACCTCCTCCTATGATACCCGAGAGCCTGATGTCCTTTCGTGGTCTTCCTGCCAAGCACGGTAGCCTGGATCTCATCATGAGAGCCTACAAAATAACTGATATGTACTCTTTGGACGTGTCAATGTCATGAAACACGCGCACACGCGCGCACACACACACAGGCTGAGGAGCTGTTTCACATTAAAGGCGATGGAAAAGGTGACGGCAGGTTCAGATCACTCGGGTTTTCTGGCTTGTTTGTTTGGTGTCTTACATCCTACATGTCAGATTTAACAAGGATACGTACTTTGTGGTCTCGAACTCCTGGGCTCAAGTGATCCTACCACCTCGGCCTTCCAAAGTGCTGGGGTTACAAGTGTGAGCCACCGCACCTGGCCCAGGCCCCTTTCGTACTAAGACCTCCTTCCTCTCATGAGGACCCTTGTGTTTACCTTGGACCCACTGAGATGATCTGGGAGAATTTTGCCATCTTAAGATGTTTCAGCATATTTGCAAAGTCCTTTTGCCATGAAAGGTGACATGTTTGCAGATCCTGAGGATTAGGGTACCCTCCGGGAGGGTACCTGGCTCTGCCATTGACTGTCAGTGGGGCCTTGGGCAAGTCACTTTACAGCCCTGTGCCTCAGTTTCTCCATCTGTGAAGAGGGTATAATGATAGTCCTACCTCATTAGTTTGCTGAAAGGATCACTAAGGTGACATCTGTGAGGTAGGGCCTGGCTCTTGGTCACTACTGGGTGGAGGTTTGTGTTCATGTGGGCGTGGGGACAAGAGCTTCCAGGAAATGGGCAGGAGGAGTCAGGGCAGGGGACAGTGAAGTATCTGCAGAGACAGGAAACCCTCTGTGTGATGGGGGTTACATTTTCTGAGGCTTCCAAGAGGTTGGCTTTGCTGTCCAGGGACCTGGGGCAGGGTTCCCAACACCTGGCCAGGGGTTGCTAACCGATTCCTAAAAGGCAAACGCGCAGCCCTGGAGGGGAAGCGGCCAGAGCCCTGGGGCTCGCAGGAGGCTCCTGGTGGAGGGCAGCATGGCTGCCACCCTCAGGGAGACATCCTGTTCCATCCAGCCACGGCTCAGGTGGGGAGACCCACCTGACACGGCTCAGGGGGCCCAGACGGGGTGAGCCGGCCTGCGGTGCTATTTCCCTGGCTTCTGCCTCTGGCCTGCAGCTGTTCCCACACACCTACTGCAAATGCTGGGGCTGTGGGTAGTGGCCACCTCTGGAGCCTCCTGCAGCCCTGGCCTATGTAGCTGAGGGACTGACTGCTGTGGCCAGTAGGCAGGACAACTGGCCATCCTTTTTGAGCCCAGCGCTGCCTGCACACACACTCAGAACATGCCAGGCACACCCTGGAGTGAGGGACAGGAGGGCAGGAAGGTGGCCTGAACCACATGGCTGGCGAGGGGCTACTTTTGCGTGGATTCTACTGGTTTACAGAAAGAGGACTTGCATGTCTGTCAGGGTTGTGTCCTCCCACGTCGCTGGGGGTCCTTGCGTTCTACCCTTGGAATCCTGGAAACCAGAGTGAGCACATCTGTCTGACTTTCAGCCGGGCTGTGTGCTGGGACTTCCCCCAGGCTAAGGCTCAACCTCCTTGCTCAGCAGAGAAAGGCGGGGGGTGGGAGGGTGGGGAGCCGCCTACTCCACATGGCCAAGTCCTTGGTGAAGCCTGCCTGCCACCTTGGGCCTGCCATACCTGTGTGCACAGGATGTGTGCTTGTGTCTGCATGTGTGTGCACACATACATGTGAGCAGGCATGTATGTGCACATGTGTATTTGCGTGACATCTGTGGTAGCATGTGTATCCCCATGGAATGTGCTTGCACACATCTGTGTACATGCATGCCTGTGTGTGCCTGCATGTATATGTGAGCACATGTGCATGTGTCTGTATACACATATGGGTGTGTGTGCATGCTATTCGTGTGCACATGTGTACACATCTGTGTGTATTTGTGTCTGTGTGTGTATGACCTTGTTACTCCCTCGGACAATCAGGAGCCGTGGAGGTGGAGGCAAAGCCAGAAGTGACAGAAGCAGATGTCCTGGGCCAGGGTCCGCCCTACCCCAATCCACAGTCTCTCAGCTCCGGGAAGGCCTTGAGACCTTGAGCTTGGCAAAGTCAAGGTCGGCAGAGCCAGGACGCGTCCCAGGACGATGCTGCCAGTGCCTTTGACCTTCTCTGACAATGATTTCCCAACTTCTCTTCACAGAGGGCATCTTGCCTGTGTCTTTTGGTTTCAAGCCCATTCTAAAAGCCAGTTGTGTGTCCCTCATGGAAGCCCCATTTTCCAGTTAGCTCCCCACGGATGCATACTCACCCCAGGCCAGTGCTCCATGGGGCCCTTCGCTGCCAGCCAGCCCCCATCACTCAGAGCTTGCTGCCCTTCCCCGGGGTTCTAGGGGGCTTCTCTTAAAGGCTCGACAGGAATTCGAATGCCCTTCCATTTCCCCATCATTTGCTGCAAGCAGGGAACAAAGATAGGATTGTAGTGGCTTGTGGGAAAGGGATACAAAGAATGTATTTTTTCCTTCCCTTATCCAAGCGGGGTTCCAGACCCATGGGCTGCCTGGGAATTCTGAAGCTGCTGGGAGGAGCTGGGGCAGGGGGCAGTGGTGGCCATGCCCGCAGTGCCTCCCAGGCCTCCATTCTATCCTGCATCACCCATGCCTGGCCCATGTGCATGTGTGGGACATGCTCAGCCTCTCTTTCTCCCTTCCAGGTGCAAGTCTCCCTGACCCTCCTCCTCCAGGCCCCTCCTGGCTTCAGCTACCTCCCTGAGTGCTCTCTGGGTCCCCAGGTACCACTGCCTTCCATGCTGCCTCCAGCTGCCCCCTGCCTCCCAAGCTGCCAACTGGGGTGCCTCACAGGAGCCCCTGAACTGCCCTGAAGCCTGATCCCTCTCTGCTCTCATCTTGGCCTAGGCCATCACCTACCAGTCATTTGTGTCTAAGCCAGAAATCTGTATGTGGCCTGACAGCCTCTCTGCCCTCCACACCTGTGACCACCTCCTAGGAGTGGTTTCCTTAACACCTCACTACCCTTGGCTCTGTCACTGTTGCCTGTGCCCTGGCAGGCCTCCTGCTCCCCAAAAAACTTCCCACTGCACTCACCTGCCCCTCCCAGCCCTTCCCAAAAAGCACCTCTGGGCTGGGCGTGGGGGCTCATGCCCATAATCCCAGCACTTTGGGGGGCCAAGGCAGTTGGACCACTGCCAGACTGGCCAACACAGTGAAATCCCATCTCTACTAGAAATACAAAAATTAACTGGGCATGGTGGTGTGCACCTGTAATCCCAGCTACTCAGGAGGCTGAGGCAGGAGAATCGCTTGAACCCTGGAGGTGGAGGTTGCAGTGAGTGGAGTCTGCACTCCAGCCTGGGCGACAGAGCAAGACTCCATCTCTAAATAAATAAATAAATAAATACACCCCTGAGCCTGCCACTTTGCCTAAAATGTTCTGGAGCCTTCCCGTGGCCACAGGATGAAGCCCCAGCGTCACATGCCTCTGGCTCTCGGGGAATGATAAGGACACTGAGCCTGCAGCCTACAGGTCCCTGGCCCCCACTCTGCTGACGGCTCTGCATAGGAGCGCGTCCTGGCTGGCCCAGGCTTCCTGTGGTCACGGAATTCCAAGTTTTCCAGACACCACAGGCCACGGAATCTTAGAGGACAGGAGAATGGCATGTTGAGGATTACCACTGCCTCCTTCGGGAGGAGGAGGTACAGGGCTATCCGGGCTGGGATTTGGTCAGGGCCGGGTTTGTTCTGGGTGGGGACGCAGAGGTGACCCCATCTCTTTCTCTGACTCCAGCACCACCATGTCAGCGGCGAGTGCTCTGGCTCCCGGTCTGGGCACTAGGAGTTGGGGGTCAGGAGAGGCCCCTCCCATGCATAAGGCCCGTTGCTTTCCAGGTGGAAGGGGTGGGGTGGGGAAGGCATTGTCAGGGGAGGGAGCGGTAGGAATGTTCTAGCAGGGAGGACAGCCAGACCAGACTGGAGCAATGACCGGAGTGCTCTTCTCGGGTTCTCTAAGAACTGGCTCATTCAGCCTCCATGCTGGCCCTATAGGATGGCACCTGTGATCCCCATGCTGCGGGTGAGGAAACTGGGGCAGAGGGGCCACAGAGCAAGGACTGGTGGAGCCGGGGTTTGAACCAGAGACTTGGCTCTGGAGGCTGGGCTCTTAAGTGTCATGCAGTCCTGCCTCTGGGACTGGGGGGAGCGGACTTGGTGGGGCTAGGGCGAGGTGGGACAACCAGGGCCAGCCTTAGTCTGCACTGCAGGGCTAGGAGGTGCAGGTGTCTGGGAGGGGAGGGCAGGGACCAAGGGAGAGTAGGGAGCCCAGGACAGCTTGAGCCCCAAGTGAGTGCTGCGGCCTTTGCCCTGGAAGGATGACCCACAGGGAGGCCTGGGGTGAAGAGGCCAGCAGGGCCCTGTGGGAGGGCGGGGAAGGGAGCTGAGCACTGCTGGGGCCTCTGTGAGCTCCCAGCCAGCTGATGTTCCCCTGTAGCCCTCCTTGGAGCTGTGGGCTGGCACTTCAGGGGTCAGTGTGATCGGTGACCCGCTGCCAGGCTGGAAAGGGCCTGCTAAGTGGACTGTGGTGGCTGAATCATCTGTGGGGCAGGAGGCCTTCGAAGGTGGCCCAAAGCCATGCCTCCCTGGAGGCCAGGCACTCAGACCCTCAGGCTGTGCCCAGCCGCCCTGCCAGAGCCAGAGGCCCCCCAGCATGCTGGCCACCTGCCCCTGCACCTGTCACACCTGGAAGAGCTGAGGATGCCACGGGCTCCTGCTGGAACTGCATGGAGCGCACATCTCGCAGTGAGTCCGCAGCCCTCACAACCCGGGGCTGACTCCCCCAGGACAGGAGGAAACCGGGGGCTCATGGCGCCAGGCCTGGACGCCGTGGCCTGCACAGAGGAGAGGTCTCTGTGTGGGTGTCGGGAGGGAGTTGCGGCTTCTGGCCCTGGCCAGCACTGACCACAGCGTGACCCTGGCCTGATCTTTGGACTCTCAGTGCCACGTCACAGAGACACTGAGTGAGGAGGCCCTTTGGTCTAGTGGTTTTAGGGGACAGCTGTGCTCGAGATAGCACTGCAACCCAGCCCCCTGCTGCTCCCTGGTCTGCAGTGGGCCCCTGACCCAGCTGGACCCCACTGTGCCCTCTGCCTCAGGGTACCAGCCAGCAGCCAGCACGAGGGCAGCTGCCTCCATTGCAGGGCCAGGTCAGTGGTGTGTGGCCCAAGGTGGCTGTGTCATCTCAGGACTGAGTGAGGACAAGCTTCTCCCACCTGGCCCTTGTGCCCGGGACCTGCTGGCTGCCGTCAGGTGTGTGGCTACTGCCATTGTGCTGGCCAGCACAGGCCAGGCACACAGAAAGCAAGATGAGGCCAGGTGCAGTGGCTCAGGCCTGTAATCCTAGCACTTTGGGAGGCTAAGGCCAGCAGATCGCTTGAGGTCAGGAGTTTGAGACCAGCCTGGCCAACATGCTGAAACCCCGTCTCTACCAACAAGACAAAAGACTAGCTGAGTGAGGCGGCACACACCTGTAGTCCCAGCTACACCGGCGGCTGAGGCAGGAGAATCTCTTGAACCCAGGAGGCAGAAGTTGCAGTGAGCTGAGATCACCCCACTGCTCTCCAGCCTGGGTGACAGAGTCTCTGTCTCAAAACAAACAAACAAAAAGCCATTAACTACAAGATGAGTGTCTGTGTCGGGTCTGGCTGGCTGTTGGCAGACCAGGGGCCTGAGCCTGCTCTGCGGGGTGGAGAGTGTCAGGTCCCTGCCTGTAGCTTCTCGGGTGACCTGATGGTTGAAAGCACGAGCACTGAGGCCATGTGTATCTCAGCATCCATTGCAGGGTCTGCAAACTTCTGCACCCTGGGTTTGTGGGAGCTTGTGGGAGCCCCAAGCACTGGGCGTGGGTGCCGACAGCTCTCGGGAAAACCAGAGGTTGTGAGGCTGCTCCTGGCACAACCCCTGCCCCAGTCACCCTGGCCACCTGCACTCTTAGCTCCTGCCATGGGCCATGCTGCCTGTCTCCAGCCCAGTCCCCCACCCCACGCTCCTGCAGGCCACATCCTTCTGGAAGCCTGCCCCCTACTGTGCCTTGTCTTCCCCTCCTGTGTTTCTCCCTGAGCTCAGGGCCTTGTCTGGGCTGCTCTCTGCTGACCCCGGGGCCTGAAATCGGCCTGGGGGTCTCGGGAGCTGTCCCATGAATACGGTGGTGGGTGTATTCCAGGAGACCTCTGTGACCTCTGTGACTCTCCACCCCACGGAGCGGGCTCAGGCCTCTGGTCTACCGACGACCAGCCAGAGTCAATCCAGACACTCACCTTGCAGTTAGTTCACGGTTGCTTGTTTGTTTTGAGACGGAGTCTCACTCTGTCGCCAGGCTGGAGTGCAGGGGGATGATCTCGCTCACAGGCACAGTGTCTTCATTCTGTCCCCTCCTCTCATGTGCACAGGGCCCAAGTCTGTCCCCAGCCTCGGCTGCCTCCCTCCCCTCTGCCCACCTGGAGCACTTTCCCTCCTTCCACGGCCCACAGTGAACACAGGTCTCCCTCTCTGAACCCCAAACCCACCAATGCCCCCCGAGGGACCCACGCACTTCCCTCTACCTCAGCCTTCGCACATGCTGTTCCTGTGCCCAAAACACCCTTCCTGCCATTACTACCCAGGGCCCAACTTGGGAGGAGTGTCCCTGGGCTGTAGCAGGAGTGACCCCTGCCCTGTGCCCTCATGGTAGTGTCAACCCTGGCACCTGCCCAGCGCTACCAGGAGCCAGTGCTCTCACTGCGCTTATGGCTGTTTGCTGGGTGTGGGCTGGGAGGGGGACACTGTCAGAGCCAGGCTCACCCTGGGTGCAAATCCCTGTGCAGGGGCTGACAGCAGATTCAACCTGGGAGAGCAGAGGGAGTGGGTGTGGGAATGGGGGCCAGAGGCCCGGCAGCACCAGACCCAGACACAGGCGTTGCCAGAAACAGGAGCTACTGAATCCCATGCCCCTCATCCATCACTGGAGAGAGAGTTGTGGGTCGTGGGGTGCAGCCCCTGCCTCATGTCCTGTCCCTACCAGCCTCCCCTCCACACTGCAGGGCGCCTGCCTGGGGAAGCCCCCACCTACCAACCTGCCCTCTCTGCCCCAACCCTTGTGCCCCCAATCCAGAATCCATACACAGCCAAAAGGAACTTTCAAAATACTTCTCTGGGCCAGGTGTGGGGCTCATGCCTGTCACCCCAGCTCTTTGGAAGGCCCAGGTGGACCGATCACTTGAAGCCAGGAGTTCAAGACCAGCCTGGCCAATATGGTGAAACCCCGTCTCTACTAAAAATACAAAAATTAGCTGGGCATGATGGTGGGTGCCTGTAGTTCCAGCTACTTAGGAGGCTGAGGCAGGAGAATCATTTGAACCCAGGAGGCGGAGGTTGTAGTGAGCCGAGGTCGCGCCACCGCACTCCAGCCTGGCCCACAGAGCGAGACTCTGTCTCCAAACAGCAAAAACAACAACAACGAAAACTAAAACATTCCTCCGATCTCATCACTCACCTGCTAAAACCCTCAGTGACTCCTCATGGCCCTCAGGGACCCATGGGTGCCCAAGGGCCTTGGTGGCCTGTCTGCCCTCCCCCAGCCCCCAGGCCCCGTGCCTGGCAGGGGCTTCCTCACCTGTGGCTGCTGTGCATGCTTCTCCCCACTCCCAGCCCTGCTTGAACTTTGCTCTTTGCCCTTCAGGACTCAGGACACTGGTCACGTCACCTCCAGGAAGCCCTCCCTGGTCCGCAGGCTGGTGGGGGCACACCTCCCATGGCCGGTACATGCTCCCTGTGGCTGCCTTCACCCACACATAATGGGTTTGGTGCCAGCCTCCTGATGAGGCTGGTTCCTGGTTTATGCCAGGTAGGCAAACTTCACTTCGGAGGTTGGGGCAGTGTGTGCAGGCAGGGTGTGACCCTGAGCACTCCCCCTGCGCCTCCCTCCAGCCTTGGCTTCCCCATCTGTGAAACGGGGGGCAGTGGGGTGTGCTGGGGCGGTGTGGCGGTGGGTCCGTCCAGGGGTTGCTGGCAACACCAACTCTGTCACTCGCCGCCGCGTGACCCTGGGTTGACATCACCCACCCTCTGGTTCCCGGCTGTGAAATGGGGACAAAGCAGGAGCCGGAGCTTGGGATTCCTCAGATGATGCGTCAGAGCCAGGCCTGCAGGAGCAGCCCAGGGACCGAAGCTGCCGGGAGGGAGGGCCCCGCGTCAGGACACAGCAGGCATGCTCTCAGCCCTTCTCTGACCACCTGCCCTTGGGAAGGTCATCGGCCTCCTGAGCAGTCAGACCCCCAAGGCCTCGCAGCAGGGCTAGGCCTTGCTGTGTTCCCAGGCCTTGGGTCATGGCCTGGCAGCCCAGCTGTTCCTGGGAGCTGGCCTTGGCAGAACGCGGCACTCCGCCAAGCCGTATTTCCACATTTAGCACCGGAATCACAGCCCCATAAAGCAGAGGGGCCACTTCCTCTTCTTCCTCCTCCTCCTGCAACAAAGGGGGCACTGAGGCCACCCCTCCGCAACTGTAGGTCACCTCGAGCAGCTGGTCGCCAGCCCCTGCCTGGGCTGAGAGACCCTCCAGTGGCACAGGCTCTGGGTCAGGACACTGGGGGCTAGCATAGGCCTTGGGCAGATGAGTGAGCGTCAGGGATGAAGGCAGCCACGTGGGGCCTGAGGCCGTGCTGGCCTGTACTGGGCACTTCACTCCCTGTGCCTCAGTTTCCCCATCTCCTTTCCTTTCCACTGACCATTTTATTCACCAAAGGCCACGTGGGCCCAGCACCATGCCAAGCCCTGTCCTTGGCCCTGTCCACAAGGCTCCATCTGGTTCAACTGATTCCAGGAGAGGCCTTGGCTATGGAGACACAGGACTGGGATGCCAGGAGAAGGGGAGGGAATGGTTTAGGGGGCCTGGGGCCAGGAAACCAGAGGAGGGGGCACCTGGGGCCTGTCCCCATCAGTTCAGGTGTTGAAGCTTGATCAAGCCCCAGCCTCTCTCTCCACTGTGTGGCTCCTCACCGTCCAAGGCCCAGAGCTGGTGGGGACCTTGCCTGAAGACACACAGCCTAGCTGGGGTGGGCCTGCTGGTCTCTCAGCCTGAGGGGCCTGTTCACACCAGGTGACAGAGGCTGCTCTGGCTGCAGGCGCTTACTGGGGACTTTGAGCCCCCGCCCACTTGTATGGCAGTTGGGCCTTGCCGCTCGGGGCTCTTGGGAGCTGGCCGGGTGATCTGAGGCTCGGTCTCAACCCTAGGGTAGCAGGCAGCGCAGGAGCGAGCAGTGGACAGATAGGAGGAGCAAGATCGTGAATCTCGGGGTAGAGCCATTAGGGCCAAGCCTCCCTGCACATGGGGTGAGGCCAGGCCGGGATCCCCCATCTCTCCCCAGCCCACCTGCCCTGCTGCTGCCATAGGGATGCCAGTAGGGACTGGGAGGAGTTGCCCACAGCTTGCAGCCTTCCAGCTCGCGGGCAGCGCCCCACCTGGTCAGAGGGGCGAGATGGACCTGGGCAGCTGAAGGCCGTCACATGTGGTCACAGGGGGCCATGGGCAGGCCCTCTGCAGCTGAGTGCCCCACCTCCCAAGCTCTGCTGTCGGTCTGGCCCCATCCACCCCTGGGGTCCCAGCTAGTGGGCAGCTTTGCCCCAGCCTGTTCTCAGAGAGCTGTCTCTGGACAGCTGTGGTCCAGCTGCATGTGCTCAGGAGGAGGATGGGGCTGGGGTCAGGCACCAGGGGCTGGGGTGTGGCAAGGTGACTGTAAGCCTGGCCTCGTGGGAGGCTGGGGCAGTGCTGCAGAGGATCTCAGCTTTATCTGAATGGGAGAAGTGGAAGAATGAGCTGGGCAGTGTGGATGGGGTGGTGTTGGGGGAGTGTGCCAGGCAGGGGGCTGGCAGGGCCAGGGCAGGGGAGGCATGAAATGATCTGGGGTACCTGCCAATGCCAGTGGTTGTGTGTGGCCGGGGTCTGAAGGGGACAGGCAGCTAGTGACACAGATCGGGGACCCTCAGGAAAGCTGTGAGCAGAGCTGGCAAGGCTGAGGTTCATATGGGCACAGAAGGAGGGCTCAGTTTTCTGCCTGCCAGCCCTAGCCCATGGGAGAAGCTGGAGCCCGGGAGATCGGGGCAGGGTTGCTGGGTGAGGGTCAGGTGGGCGAGGGGCCTTTAGGAGACAGAAGAGCAGGGCCCTGGCTAGGTAGGGCTGAGGTGTCACTCACCACAGGAAGGGACTTCAGGAGGCTCCCTCAGGGATAGGGGCTGCCTAGGTCCTGGGGTCATGGGAATGGGGCCAGGTGGGCAGCTGCCCCTGTGCAGGCATCCAGGCAGAAGGGGCTTTAGTCTCGTCCTAGGAGTCCACCCCGCGTTTCCCAACTTAATCTGCCCCAGCTGAGGGTGTCACTTTGGGCCACCTGGCACCCTCCTCAGCCTCAGCATCCTCATCTGTCCAGTGGGTGCTGTCCAGCCAGGAGTGGGGGTCACATGGGCTGACCAGGGTCGGGTCAGAGGCAGGAGTGGCAGGAATGGGCAGGAAGTGTCATTGTGGTCCACAGAGGCTTCCTGGAGGAGGGGTAGGAATTGGAAGAGGAAGGGGAGTCATTCAGGGCAGTGCCCAGGGCTATGCTGGGGAGCCAGACCAGGGGACAGACTGTGAGGCCAGAGCAGGGGCGGGGAGGAGGAGACACTGACTCCTCATAGGCCAGGAACTGCTTCTTCCTTCAGGTGGAGGTGCTGCGACCTCTTCAGCCCATCCCCGGGCTCGTGCCAGCCCATGCAGAGGGTGGGCAGAAGGAGGGCACATAGAGCTCCCATCACCTGCAGACCTCGGCACCTGCTGCATCCTCCACTCGGGAAGGGCTGTCTTCTTCCCCTCCATGAACTCCTATTCATCCTTCAAAGCCCAGATCAAGTGTCACCTTGTTTCCCTGCCTCACTTAGTGACAGGTGCTCACTTGGTGTCAGCTCTGTGCTGTGCATGGGCTGGGCACAGGTGCACAAAGGAAAGAGGTTCCAGCCACACCCACAGCGCGGCTCTCCGTGGCACCAGAGAAGCCACTGTGGCAGTTGTTGTCTGCGTACTTATAGGTCTCACTGTCCATACAGGGCTCTTTTGAGACTCACAGGCGTGTCATTACCATGGTGCCAAGGTGGGGTTGGGGAAGCCATGGGGGAGGGGCTCCTGGGCAGGAAGGAACAGCCTGTGCCAGGCTCCAGCCTCCCTGGACAGGTCTCTGCAGAGCACTCCTGACCTTTCTTCTGGGGAGGTGGCCCAGGGCACATGACCAGGTTCTGAACTCTCAGGCTGCAGACACGCCTCTTGTCTGTGGGGCTGGGCTGAGCCTACCTGTGACTTGGGCACCTGCCTTGTGGAAGAGCTTCTCCCATCAGCCCTCCAACCCAGCCTTCCAGGGAGCGGCTCAAAGCGGGTCTCAGGGTGTGGTTGGTGACAGCAGCGCCAAGGGCTGGGAGCATGGCTTTGGGGCAGTGGTGAGGACTGAGGCCAGGAGTGTATGGGCTGGTGCCACTGAGCCTCTGTCCTGCCTGCTGTGAGCCGCAAGACTGGAACATTCTGCTGTCCCCTGCTGGGCCAGGGCCTGCTGCCACCTTCCCGGCCCTCCCAGTGCCCCCAGCAGAGAATACTGAGCCTGGTGGGAGATCCTGCTCTGGGGACAGCAGGGCATGGGCTTGCCAGCTCCAGGGGGCAGGCACTTGGGAAAGATATCTGTCTGCGGGGGGCATCTTGCCTCATCTGGAAGGGGGCACTGAGAGCTGAGAGCAGGGCCGGGGGTCCAGATCATCCGAGGCCAGCCCCACTCACCGCTGCCAGGCTTCTTCTGGGCTCCTGAGTGCGTGGTACCTCGGCTCTGCTCTGGGTCCTCCCTCGTATCCTGTGCTCCCAGGCCCTGGCCATTCCTCCCTTGACTGGACTGTTCTGGTCCACGCCATTTGTTGAAGGAGATACAGTTTTGAGGGCCGAACCCCAATGCTGATTGCCTGAGGCGATATTCATTCTGTCATGGCCAGTCTGCAGTCAAGGCTGCCCCAGGCATCTTCTAGGCTGTGGGACCCCTTGGGAAGGTTTCCCTGCCTCCCTGCACCTCGATTTCCTCATCATTAAGTTGAGGAGGTCAGATGTCACCATCTGTGAGGCAGCCCTGCCCAGCACCAGGCCTGGTGTTGCTGTGAGCGGAAGCTGGCAGGTGTGGGGATGGCAGGATGGAAGGCCCAGGGCGGTAGCGAGCCAAGGACGGGGCCAGCAGGAGGCTCTGTGCTCAGGGGTGGCAGGAGGGGGAGGCTGCGGGGAGAGGTTGCCCCTGAGAGTGAGCCCCCAAAGCTAGGGAGATCAAGCTGAGAGTGTGAGCCAGGTAGGGGAGGACTCCTGCCACCTGCTCTGTCCTGCTCCAGCAGTTTGGTGTCTCTGGGCAGTAAACCCTGTCCAGGGCCAGGCCCTGTGCTGGGCAAGGTCAGCTACGGCCTGGGCCTCGACCTCTCCAGAAGGTCTTCACCATCCCCAGCCCCAGTGAGACGGTGCCACCCATCGCCTGCCTCCCAGGCAAGGCTTCCCTGGCTGTCAGGGTCAGAACAGAGCAGCGGAGCCCACCAGGCCCCACCACAACACCCAGCCCGCTCCCCTGCCTGCCACCAGGCTCCCACTATGCCAGCCAGCAGCCCTGCCTACTGCTGATGGGGAAGTCTCACCCGTGGGTTACCTGTCCCTCACTGGGGCATGGGTTGGTCCATGGGAGAGCCAATGGTTCCCCTGCCCTTGGGGGCCCAGCTCCCATCAGCTGCCAGGGACTCCTGCCCACCTGCCCAAGATGTTCCCATGCCCTGGCCCCTCCCTGCTGGTATCTACCCCTGATGCCCCCGAGACTCCATTGAGCATGTCTTCCTGGGACTCTAGGAGGCTGGAGACTTGCCCGGGTCACCCAATCATCACCGTGTGGGTGCAAGAGGCAGCAGTGATTACTGCCCTACTCCTATGGCTGGCCCAAGGGCAGAGTGGAGCAGGGAGGCCCCTGTCCCTGGGGGCACCACAGTGTGAGCCCGGACTCCTGTCTCTGGGTCTCGTGTCCTCATCTAGAGCACAGGGATAGGAGATTGGGCCCCGGTCTGTCCTGGGAGGAGGTGAGAGCACATGGGACACCTAGAATTGCCTCCTGCCACCTGCCGGGTGCTGGACCACCATGGCTTCCTCTGTGTTCCTAACTCTTGCCATCTCATCTGCTAGGTGGGCATGGGGCAGCACCCTCCACTCTGTAGGGGGCCCTGGTGGGGAAACCCTGTGTGCAGGGGCTGGCACCACGGTGAGGCAGGGGTTGTAGGGGGAACGGGGGGGTGCTGACAGGAGGGGGATGGGCAGGGCCTCCTGGCTGGGTCTGTGGCCAGCCTCACCCACCCAGAGAAGGCATGGGGTTATTAACTGTTTTACAGATGGGGAAACTGAGGCTCAGAGAGGCAGAGAATAGCAGAGCCCAGGGGAAGTGAGCGCAGAGGGATGTGGGGTTCAGAACTGCTGCAACCCCACGGGAGAGGTGAGGGGCCAGCCTCCCGCACACCCCTTCTCCGCCCACAGCCGCCAGCCTTCCCAGCACCTTAATGGTCGGGAGATGCGGCCACTGGAGCGGACGATGATGCAACCCTGTGGTGGAGGTCAGGCCCGTGCTGGAAACGCTGTGCACCTGCCACTCACCTCCATCTTGATCCAAGGGCCGCTCAGCCTCGGGACTGGCGTGGAGGCAGCCAGGCCTCCGGGACACTGGTTCTCCAGCAGGGGGTGGTGTCCACGCGGCTGGACACTGGTTCTCCAGGCGAAGACGGCGTCCACGGGGCCAGACACTGGTTCTCCAGCTGGGGGTGGCGTCCACGCGGCCGGACACTGGTTCTCCAGCTGGGGGTGGCGTCCACGCGGCCGGACACTGGTTCTGCAGCTGGGGGTGGTGTCCACAAGGCCGGACACTAGTTCTCCAGCTGGGGGTGGCGTCCACGCGGCCGGACACTGGTTCTGCAGCTGGGGGTGGCGTCCACAAGGCCGGACACTGGTTCTCCAGCTGGGGGTGGTGTCCACGCGGCCGGACACTGGTTCTGCAGCTGGGGGTGGCGTCCACAAGGCCGGACACTGGTTCTCCAGCTGGGGGTGGTGTCCACGCGGCCGGACACTGGTTCTCCAGCTGGGGGTGGCGTCCACAAGGCCGGACACTGGTTCTCCAGCTGGGGGTGGTGTCCACGCGGCCGGACACTGGTTCTCCAGCTGGGGGTCGTGTCCACGCGGCCGGACACTGGTTCTCCAGCTGGGGGTCGTGTCCACGCGGCCAGGACACTGGTTCTCCAGCTGGGGGTGGTGTCCACGAGGCCGGACACTGGTTCTCCAGCTGGGGGTGGTGTCCACGCGGCCAGGACACTGGTTCTCCAGCTGGGGGTGGCGTCCACGTGGCCGGACACTGGTTCTGCAGCTGGGGGTGGCGTCCACGAGGCCAGGACACTGGTTCTCCAGCTGGGGGTCGTGTCCACGCGGCCGGACACTGGTTCTCCAGCTGGGGGTGGCGTCCACGAGGCCAGGACACTGGTTCTCCAGCTGGGGGTCGTGTCCACGCGGCCAGGACACTGGTTCTCCAGCTGGGGGTGGCGTCCACACGGCCGGACACTGGTTCTCCAGCTGGGGGTCGTGTCCACGCGGCCAGGACACTGGTTCTGCAGCTGGGGGTGGCGTCCACAGGGCCGCCCCTTCCCAGCACCGCTCACTTCACTGGGTGCCGGGCGCCACCTGGTGGTCAAGCCAGAAGCCGCTGCTACTCGAGCTGCGTGGAAAGCATCCCCAGACCCTCAAATGTCCTCCTCCTGTGAACTTGGGGAAACTGACGCCCAGGAGTGGTAGAGCTCAACGGGTCCCTCAGAGAGGCAGGGACTGGACTAGGGACCGTCAGGGCACCTGATGCCTGTCCAGCGCGTGCGGCTGGGCTTAAGTGGCTTAGTGGGGGGCCTGGGCCTGCAAGGACGGAGGACTGAACCCAGCACCTGAGGTCCGGTGCGCCTGCCCTGGCGCATCAAGGCCTGGGAGCCAAGGGCAACTCGCAGGTCCTGCCTGCTTCCCCAGCACGGGCCCCAGGGCCCACGGTTGGCAGCATCTTTGCAGGAGACGCTGGCCTCACTTTTGACAGCAAGGAAATGGAACCAGGTCTGGGGTTCACACCTAGGAGGAAGGCCCTGCCCAGGCCCAAGGCCCAGCTCACCAGGGACCCCGCAATGGCCCAGGGCTTTGCCTAGAGGGGCAGCACCCAACCAGGCTCAGTGCCTGTCCTCGGGGCTCCACCCTGAGCCAGCCTCACGGAGCATCTGAGAGCACTGCCCAGCTCCAATCCTGTCCGGGCCTGACTGCAGTTCCCTCTGCTGCTCCTGAGCCCTCTGAGTCCCATGGGGGCAGGGTGTGAGGTGCGCTTGCTGACCCTGAGGGCCCCAGGTGAGAGGGTAAGAGAGCTGGGCTTCTCCTTGGAAGCTCCGAGGGCAGGGAGGGTGGTACCAGCAGCTCTGGAGTCTGGCGTCCTGCGGGGTGGGTCTAGGTGATTCCCCTGCTAGCAAAGGCCTGGCCTCCATCCCCCAAGGCCAATCCCTGGACACCTCACACATGACAGGTCCTAAACCTTGCCTGCCCAGACCTGTCCCCAGCCTGGCTCCTCTGTCCCAGTGGCCGTCCACCCACCCACCACCCCGCCTCTGCCCAGCATCTCAAAGCCGACACCACCAGCACTGTCCCTGGCCATTACTGTGGTCTGGGCACATCCTTTGGCCTGGGCCCTGGCAGCCACCCTCTTAGAGCTCTGCTTAGACATCTCCCTTCACACGCCCCTCTACATCTCTCTTCGTGGTGGCCAATGCAGAGTGGCCAGGCCAGGCTGGGCTCAAGCCCTTGTGATGGCTCCTGCACTGTGGGACAGCCACCAGTCTGACTTGAAAAGCCAGAGCTGGTGCAGCCAGGCCAACTTCGGGTAAACCAAGACATACAGACCCGTTTCCTCCCTGCAGGCCTTGTCAGAGCCTTCGATAGGCTCACCACAGCATGACTCCAGGAAAGGGCGCTGTGAGCAGCGGCTGGAGGTGCATTTGTCCAGAGAACGCGCCATCCAGGAGCATTTCCCAGGCCCTTCAGAGTGCCAACCAGCCAGCCTCCTCCTCAGCCTGGGTTCCCCGGGGCTGCTCCCTGCCCTGTCCTGCCCTGCAGCCTCCTCTGCCACTTTCCCTGTGGTGCAAGCCTCCACCCTGCTCCACCAGACTGAGCCCTCACTCTAACCTGTCTGTTCATTCAGTGGGATTTTTTTTTGGGGGGGGGATGGGGTCTCACTCTGTCGCCCAGGCTGGAGTGCAGTGGTGAAATCTTGGCTCACTGCAACTGCTGCCTCCCGGGCTCGTGCAATTTTCCTGCCTCAGCCTCCTGAGTGGCTGGGAATATAGGCATGCCCTGCCACGCCCAGCTAATTTTTGTATTTTTGGTAGAGATGGGGTTTTACCATGTTGGCCAGGCTGGTTTTGAACTCCTGACCTCAGGTGATCTGCCCACCTAGGCCTCCCGAAGTGCTGGGATTACAGACATGAGCCACCAGCCTGGCCTCAGTGGGCATTGATGGTACATCTATTGCGTGCTGGGTGCTGAGAAGACGTGGTCACTGGAGCTCACAGCCTAGTGAATGGGCCACATGGGGCAGCACCCACACAGGCAGACACAGAATGTGCCAGGGAGAGCAAGGAAGGGGAAGCAGCCTTGGCAGTGGGCGAGGCCTGGCACATAGACGGCCCTGGGTGTCTACCTGCAGGCACCTGCGTCAGTCCAGGCTGCTCTGGACTGTGAGGGTCAGGACGAAATCAAACCCTCCTTCATAATCACGTCTGAACACAGACCACAGCATGGACGTCACCCACGCGCAGAACGTCCAGCCTCTCCCGGCCCCGGTCGCAGGTGACTGCGGCTGCTTCACCAATCGCAGCTCCAGCCTCGCTCTGGGCTCCCTGCCCTGGAGACGAGGCTTGTTAAGGCCTCTGATCAGAGGACAATGCGGTGCCCTGAGAGCATCCAACCCAGAGCCCCCCTCCGCAGACTCCCCCCAAAACACCCCATCACCGATACCTTGCCCAGGGATAAGAGCAAACTGGGTTAGGGGAGCGGCTGGAGTGCTGGCGGCCTGGGGTAGGTGCAGCCCTGTATGTCTAGGGGAGGAGGCCGGGCTGCGGGGCGCTGAGCAGGTGGGTCTGGTCTCATCTCAGGACATGGGCATGTTTGGCCTAGCCTGGCTGGTGTTTGCAGGGCACTCGCCTGCTGCCCCCCGGACCTCTCAGTACCCAAGAGAGCCAGGTCTCCTCGTCTTCAGCCTGGATAGGACACAGGGTAAGGGCCTCGCCTAGGCTGTGGGGTTGGTTCACAGCTGGCCACTGCCTTTCTGCTGGGTGGTTTCTGTCGCCTGTGCTCCTTCTGCCGCCTCGAGGCCCCTCTGTTATGTACTGGGGCTGTGGGGGTGAAATACTCATGGGCTTCGGTCCCTGCTGTTAGCTGGTCTCCCCAGTGCCTGAATTCAGCCTGCCCCTGGCTGGGCACAGGGGCCTCTGGAGGGTGCCTCGCCCGGGGGCGACCCCACGCCACATCAGCTCTACTGCAGGGCCTGCTGGGTGCTGCCCAAAGCCTCCACCTCTCCGGCCTCGCAGGGGCAGTGGACAACATGGTTGGGCCCTTCCTGGACTCCTGGGCTCACCATGACCTCTGTGGACATGGCTTGGCCTTCTCTGCTCCGGAACCAGCCACCCTTCCCTGCCCGGCACCCTGGATGCTCTGACGGCCTCTGTTAACTCCGTCCTTGACCCTGGAATGCACTTCCTGTGTGTCTGCCCAGCCGAACCCCTCCCACACTCACCCCAGGCCTGGGGCCAGCCGTGACTGTTCCCCCGCCCTCCCTCCCCCTTTCTCCCCTCCCCTGCCCTCCCTCCGCCTTTCTCCCCTCCTCTGGAGGCCACCCCTCCCCGGCTGCCTTCCTGGGTTTACCCCTTCTCCTCCCTCACTGACCCCCGCATCCGCCTTCGAATCCTTGCCCGACACACCCAGACCCCCCAGGCCAGCTGCTCCGTAGGATATATCTTTATTATTGATTGATTGATTGATTGATTGAGACAGGCTGGAGTGCAGTGAGTTAGGCTCACGGCAGCCTTGACCTCCCCAGGCTCAGGTGATCCTCCCACCTCAGCCTCCCAAGTAGCTGGGACCACAGGTATGAGCCACCAAGCTCAGCTAATTTCTGTATTTCTTTGTAGAGATGGGGTTTTGCCATGTTGTCCAGGCTGGTCTTGAACTCCTGGGCTCAAGCATTGCTCCTGCCTCGGCCTCCCCGAGTGCTGGGATTACAGGTGTGAGCCACTGTGCCCGGCCAGATGTGGTGTTTTTACCTGGGGCTCCAGCTTTTGCCGGGAACCTGGACTTGTGTGGGCTGACCCAGGAAATGGGCAGAAGCCTGGGAGGCTGAGCTGGAGGACAAGGAGGGTGGAAGACAGGCTTGGTGAGAGAGGCTGTCGGGTCTGTGGTGTGGAGGGGAGCGGGGAATAGGGGAGGGACGGGGCGAGGACTTCTTGAAGATGGGCTCCCCTTCTGTTTTCTTTCCGGGGCCGAAGGAGGGTCAGTATGTCTTGCTTCAAGGTCAGGGCAGTGCCGCCTGTCTGGGGCTTGGCTGGAGGCAATGCCCTGATACCCAGGATTTGAGAGGGTGAAGGTTGGCGTCCGGGCCCGCCAAGGACAGGCCCACCATGTCTGAGCCCAGGTAAAGTCTGAGGGAGTGCCCATTCCTTCTGGGGAGGCTGAGGTGTGCAGACAGCTGCTTTTATTCTGCCTGGGGGGACCTTCAGGGACAAGGCTGGAAGTGAGGTACCCGGCAGGGCCCTGGGCCTGGCCCAGTTCCTTGGTCCTAGGGAAGGACCCCGGAACATCACCTGTTCCTCCCTCTGCCATCATTCCTGTCCCAACCCCGGCCAGCCTGGAAGGCAGGACAGCCACAGATTAGGGCAGACAGAGCTGCTGTGAGGCCTTGTGAGTCACTGCACCTCTCTGAGCCTCTGTCTCCACATTTGTGAAATGGGCTGAGGATGGCAGCCCTCTGGGGACTCTGAGGAAGCAGATCAGGCCGGGGACATCACCGGCGCAGCACCAGAGGGGCCGACAGGCCAGCATTTAGGGCAACGGCCTGGGCCCCACTCCCAGCCCTGGGGGAGCACCTCCCACTCAGAGAGAGACCCGGCTACCCACCTAGACTCAAGGCAGCTCTCGCTCTGGGCAGCCTGGAGCATTGGAAGGGTGGGGGAGGGACAGGGCACTGGCTGGCATAAGTGTGGATGCTGAATTGGGCCACCAGGCAGGACGCATGCAGGGAGGCCATCGCAAGGCCCCTGGCAGCACCACCTGCCCTCAGGCTCAGCAACAGCTGGGGCCGAGGTAGGAGCTGTGGCCAGAGGTGGACTGAGAGGTGGGGGAGTCGTGGTGAGCAGGAGGGAGTCCTGGTGGAGGTGAGCACAGGCGTGGGGGAGGGGGGCTGGGAGGCAGCACAGGAGAGGGTGACTCATGTTGAGTACAGCATAAGTCCCTTGAGCAAGCCAGACCTGAAAGCCTTCCCCTTCCTTGTCCACCTCAGCCCTCCAGTTGTCCCAGATCTGAGATGTGCTACCTGGCTGGTGCCACCTCCCTCCCCATTCTAGAAAGAGGCTAAACTCATAATGGGACAGTGACCAGCCAGGTTCTCCCAGCTGGCACAGGGATGCCCCAGGCTTCATGGCCTGCCCTGACCCCACAGACCCTGCCTGTTTCAAGACGCAACATCAGAGGAACCCACTGATACTAAATGCCACTGGGTGGACATGAGTCTGTGCCAGGGGGCCATGGGCTCAGCCCTAGGGCCTGCCTTCCCTCCTGGGCATCTGAGGCCCTTCCCTGGGGCTCCAGCCTCCCTTCAGGCTCTGGAGGCTCAGCTACCCCACCCCACTTCCCATGTGTGGGCCTCCACTGTGCCACCTCCTCTTCCTGGGGCCACCTGAGCTCCAGGCCTTCAGATAACCCAGTCCCAGAGTCCTCCCAGGCTCAGTCTGGTCTTCCTGCTGGTGGGGGGTGCCCGGGGACAGATGTGGGTCTCAACTCAGCTCTGCTGGGCACAGGGCGGCTGCCTCTGGCTCACACCCAACAGGTTTGCCAGATGCCAAGCAGGGGCAGTGATGCTGATGGCTCGTTGGTGGTGAGCAGGGCATAGGCAGGTGGGAGGCCGCCAGGCATGTCACTGCCTTGGGACGATGGCCAGAGGCCCTGGCATGTGGCTGTGATGGGCACAGAGGTCCCCAACCCGCCCCCCCACCACACACCAGGGGAGCGGGAAGTGCATGGGCCCCTCTCCAGGGTTGTCCTCAAACCCAAGGCTTCCACAGCCCAGAAGGGGTCGCCCTATTCACAGCCTTGGCCTCAGAGATGGGGTACAAGCGGGCCTGGCAGCTCAGAGCTCCCGGCGCACCGCCTCCTGCTGCCACACGGTGTCGCTGTCAGGAAACTCACAGTCCGATGGCAGGGGTGGCCCGCGGGGGGGCAGGGGATGCGGCAAGGGTGGCAGGCTACCCGGGACGGGCGGATGGTGGGGGAAGCAGGGCGGGGCGAGGGATGGCAATGAAGGAGACACTGACTGCCCGGGGCAGGGCCCTCTATGGCTTCCCTGGCAGGGCACGTGGTCCTCCTGGGCCTTTCCTCCACAACTCACAACAAAATCATGAACCGTACCCATGACCGGGGTGGCGAGAAGATACCCAGAACCCAGGCTGGGCCCTCGTTCTATTCACCCATCACCCACACCTCTCTACAATCTACTCACCCTATATTATATATTCAATATGGGGGAGCATTTTCTCTTTGCATTTTAAAAGAAATGGAAACAAGACTTTTCCTGGGCCCTCAGCTCTGCGGCTTGTGCTGATGTGTGACCTGAGAAAGGCCCCTGCCTCCCTTTGCTCCCTCTCTTCCCCCTCACTGGCCTTGTTCTAGCCCTGGCCCTGCATAATGGCCCTGTCCCTTGGTGCTCGGACTACAGGTTCAAGTGGTAGACTGGCTTTGCAGTCCTCCTAGGAAGGCCCAGCTCAGGGGTGGCCCTTTTGAACCTCAGGGCCCACGGGCCTCACGCCTTTTCTTCCATAGGGTACAGCTGTTCTCTGGTGGCACTGCCTGAGCTGGGAGGGATCCCTGGCACGTGGCTGCTGCACAGCCTGGGAAGCTGGGGCCACCTCGAATGTCCCTGGTCCCCAGCTCTCCTCCCTAGACTTTGTTCTCAAGGCGGCTCATCCACAGCCCTGGGCACTCTGATCTGGTACCTGCTTAAATCCTCACAGGCACCCCAGGAGGTGGAAGCTACAGTGACCCCACTGCAAGACAGGAAACAGACTTGGTGAGCGGAGTGACTGACCCAGGCCTGTCGCCCCCAGAGCTGCCATGGGCTCCCTCCTCCCAGGGCCCTCCTGCCTGTTTTTTGGATGAGTTCTAGCAATCCCATCTCTGAGTATGGCCAGTCAGCAGGGAGGTTTTGCTCAGCTGGAAGGTAGGGAGGGACTTGGGATGAGTGAGGCCATCACCTCCTCCAGGAAGTTGCCCCTGACTGTAGGGCTGGATCTGGGGATGCTGCTGACCCGTACACATGGCCACTGTGTGTCCCTGGCAGCTCCCTGACCAGGCCCTGCGCTCTATAGGGCCAAATCCTGCCCCAACGACACAGTGTGGGGGCTGGGAGAAGAGGCTGGCTCCTCTGGACCTTCACGGTCTGCTCAGACACAGACAGGAGCTGCGGTGGCCAGAGGTGGGTCTGAGCCATGGACTGAGGATTGGGGGAGCCATGGTGAGCAGGAGGGAGTCCTGGTGGAAGTGAGCACAGGCCTGAGGGAGGAGTGCTGGGAGGCAGTGCAGGCAGGGGACTCAGAGGTCTGCTCCGGAAGGACGGGGCTGCTGAGACTCTGAGGCCTGGCGGCGGGAGTGGGGAGGAATGGAAGTGGTGTTCACAGAAGTGGCCAGACATGGCTGCTGACTGATCACGGGGTGAAGCGGAGTTGGTCAATGCCCACGTGTCACCCATTCTGGCCCCCTTCTGTCCAGGGGGCATGTCACTCGTTTCTAGCTGCAAACTCCTATGCAGCTGTCGAGACCTGGCTCAGATGGCTCCTGCTTTAGGAAGCCCTCCCTGCCCTTGGGCCCCTCCTCCATGCTCCCTCTGCTCGTGGCCCACAGTGTGGCAGAGGCTCTGGGAGGGCAGGCAGGCATGGCACAGACGGGTTTCAGGGCACGGGGTGCCGGTCCGCCCAGACATGGCCATGCAGGGCTGGGTTTGCCTGCAGAGCCAAGAGGGTGCAGAGTGAAATCTGGGCCAAGGCCATGGTCTGTGGCAACAGGAGGGACGAGGATGGGCACTGAGGCAGGAGAGGTGTGGCCGGCTATGCCCGCACTTCCCCCCAGGTGCTCTTGGTGGCTGGGCCAGGCACAGGCAAGCCCACACGCCCAGGCCAGGATCGCTGGGACCAGCCCATGGCAGCTGCTGGCACGAGGGCCTGAGGCCTCCCAAGAGAATGGGTGACATTTGAGATGGTAGTCGGTCAGAGGAATTACAGGTGCTCCAGGAACTGTCCTAGGCGAGCATGGAAGGACAGGTGCATTCAGACTCTGGTCAAGGTGTTCAAGGCATCGAGGGGGCCTCGGGAGCCAGGCCCCGGCAGTGCTCTGCGCTGCTGACCTGGGATCTCGGTGGCTGCCTGCAGGGACCTCTCCACTAGGGCTGGTTCCCAATGCTCAGCCCACCTGGCTCAAAGCAGTGTGAGAGGGCAGAGAATGGGCGGGGGCCGGGGTCCTGAGCCCATCCGAGGACTCAGGAGGCACCGGGAGGTGGGAGCAGCAGCTGTGACAGGCGAGCCTGATGACCCCAAATAGCTCGTGGCCAGGGCCTCCCCGTGTCCCATGGCAGATGTGCTCCAGAGGCTAGTCCCTGGGCTTCCAGAATGAAAGGGGCCAGTTCCAAGTTCATGGTCAGAAGAGCTTTATTGCATCCAGGCCCCAGATGCCCACCCACCTCTGGCTTAGGCCCCCCTGCCTGTCACTGAGTTTGGAGGCAGCCCTCCCGTGGGGTCACGTCACTGGGCTCCTCAGGGAAGGCAGTAGGTTGTATAGTTATCTTCTGAGGGGCAACATCACTGCCCTGAAACCACACAACCTACTACCTCACCCCGCCAGGCCCGGCCTCGCCCTGCGGGAGGGCCCACCAACCCCGCCCAGCATCGCCCCCACCTGGCGGTCCTCAGCCGCCAGAGCAGAAGGGCTGGGCAGGCTCAGGGCAGGAGGGACAGTGCAGATGGCACCCCTGGAAGGGGCAGCTGCTGCTGGCTGGTCTCAGGAAGCCCCTGGCTACCTGGGCCTCAGTTTCCCCAGGTACAGAGGAGCCACCATCTGCCTTCAGGCTGTGCCCATGTGGGACCCAGGGAGTGTGTAGAGCTGTCGCTCTCACTTCCTGCTCGGGAAAGGGGCCTCAGCCTTCCTTCCTCCACAGGCAGAGGCCCTGCCACTGAGCTGGCCAGGGTGGGGCATGTGCTGGGTGCCTGGGCTGGTGGGCAAGGCCCACACTCGCGGCCCTGTGACCCCCAAACATCTTGGCCACCCCTGGCCCCATGGTGCCTTCTCCTGGTGCTCAGCGGAGGGTGTGGCCCAGTCTCCGGCTCAGGGCCACCCAAGAGCCCGGCCTGATGTGGGGGGTGGTTGAGGGACCGAGGTCGGACAAACAGCCACGTGGGTCGCACTCTCAGTGCGGCTGGGGCAGAGGGTGGGTCGGCTCAGCTTTCCTTTGCCCCGGCTGCTCCACACTGCATCTCCTTCCAGCCTCATTTGCTTCCGTTTTACAGAGGAGGAAACAGGCCCAGAGAGATCAGGGGCCTGTCTCAGGTCACACAGCAAGTGGGGCCTGGGCCTGTCAGACTTAGTGTGGGCAGCTCCTACCCCTGACTGCTGCCAAGGCTGTCCCCAAGCCCACGCCTGCCCCTCCCCAGCCAAGGTCCCAGACGCTGTGTCCGCCGCAGATATTACAGCCACTTCAGGAAAGACAGTAGATTGCATAGTTACTCCACAGGAGGGCAGAGCCCCAAACTATACAACCTACTACCTCACCCCAAAGGGCAGTCGGTCTCGGTGCGGAGGTGGGGCTCCATGGCTTCCGGAGGCACCTCCTGGAGTAGGGGAGGAAAGAGGGCTGAGGGGCGCTGAGGGGCCTCAGGGCTCCCGTGGCAGGGACATGTGGCAAGAGACAGGCCTCTCTGAGCCCCACTGATCCCGGGCCTGGCGCAGGCTCAGCCTCAACGAACGCTTGCTGTGGCCACCACCTTCCTG